AGAAATAGGCATATCAAAATTCAGAACGAGGGTCTTCCTCATCTTCCCCTCCTCCTCCTCCTCCTCCTCCTTTGAATGACCAGATTTTCTATTCAGCAAATGCCTAGGAGGTTCATTTAATTTTTTTATCCCACCTCAAATTCAGTTCCCCTTTTGTCACAATAATACACTGTTCTTGCCTCGCATCCCATTGCTAGCTTGACAATGTCTCAATTTTATATGGAATCTAGATGTCATCCAATGGGACATGCTGGGGACCCTGCTGTTTGATGTCTGTAATTTCATATCTAAAACAATGTTAGCACCTATTTTTGTTTATTATATACGTCTCTCTTCTCTGCTGGTGCTCCTCAGATATATTGGATCAACCTTGATCATCCCCAATCAGCTTGTTTAAAACTATGTTGGCTGTGGATTATGGGAGTTTAAATCCAATATCTGTAGGGTGCTCTGTCAGGAAAAAAAGGTATAGATAGTTGACAAAAAGCTGAGCAAAATAAAAGTAATTAATGCAACATATTAAAAGAAGAATCACTTATTTCTAGAGTATTTGCCAGAAACAATAATAACTTCCTTTGTTTTAATATTTAAGGAAAGTAGGTTATTTGGAATATTACCCTGTATATACACTTCAAATGATCGCTGACCTTAACTCCATTAATCTGGATTTTACACTGATCTTGCACATAAACACTGTAATCCAGGTGGCTTGTTTTCTTTGCATGTATACATAATTGTGAACGGCATATCACTTCATATCACTTGCAAAAGGAAAGGATAAGAGGGGAAGCATTTAGATGTACCTGAACTAATGCAGAACTTAGTTTTTCTCTTTCAAGTAGGAGAAGGCTATGGGATGGTGGCTCACATAATACATTTTTCAATAACATCCTAATTTCTAGTTTGCTTTCTCACTGTTATTTCAACTTGATACTAGGGTTTTTTTCCAGATAATAAGGATATAACTTACAATTCTGACCACCAGAGGTATAAAGAAGTTATATTAAGCAATTTAAATTGCCCCATCAAGTCTGCATTTATCTTATGTAAATGGATTCAAATAATCCAAAGCTACAGAAAGCAGTTTCAGATCTATAAAGTAACATTCACATAGTGATTAAATAATTGCTGAGTTGGAATCAAAATGCACAAAGCTTTAAAACTTTTAGAGAAAAATGATGAAAATGAGTAAGTATAAATAGACTACCACCATGACTGATATTAGTTTGTTGCTATGTAACTTTCAACCCAACCCTCCCTATTTACATCTTGCCTTACTGCTGGAATGCTGAAACTACCTGTCCCCTTGAGGTGAATGTAGGACCCAACCTGAAAAGCAGAACTGAAGTATCCTTGAAAGCTGTTGGAGCTGTGGTGCAGAAATTATTAGAAAGGAGAAAATATTTAGCCACAAGATATTACTAAGGAAATACTATGTTTAAATATCAGGATCTGTAGCACATCATACATCATAGACCACAAGAGAGCTACCCAAACTAGGGAGGAGATCTACAGTTTTGAATTATTCGTGGTAGAGCATTGCCTATTCCATGAACATAAGGGGCCAACCGGAACATCCTGTACCATCAGGTTACAAATACGCTGAGAAAGGAGTGATCTACTGAACACATATTTTTCAGAATGATCCTTGACATGTATCCCTCTTTTGCAAAGTCTTTAGGAATACAATATTGTGTGTTAACTGTATTTCTCCATTCTATTGCTTTATTAGGCAATCTGATTACAAAAGCCTTGGTAATTTGAATATTACCCTTTTCCATCTCTTCCCCACTATTCAGCCACCCATGAAACAGAGCATGTACGAGACTTTGTATATGATGGACTATACACCATATGCTGAGTGCCAGGACCAGCTATCCATGATGGATCTTTCAAAGGTATGCAATATTTTTATCAATTTTTCTTTAGTGTTCTTTGCCCTTAATTAATTTTTTTTCAGAGTTAACATTAGGTGTATAATTACTGATTATCTACATGGTTTAGTGAGGCCTGGTTTTGATGTTCAGACTTCAAAATATGACATAAATATAAATTTCTTATTTCACAGTTGCCCAGTTTTCTTCATCAGTTCCCCTCCCCCTGCTCTCAAAGTTTATGTCAGTTTTGAGAAGACTTCCATCAATCTGGAAAAAGAGAAACACATTTCCCAAAGTACATGAGCTTCTACTTGCTAATCATCAGCTAAAGACATGGGTGATGAGGGTGGGGGGCAAGAGGGGGACATATTATGAAACACGTATTGTGACATCATGGTACAAACTCCACCCCTTTTGTAATGGTGTTTTGATGTCACATGAACCACTTAACGGATGGAGCTTGCATTATGATATCATAACACATGTTCCATCATTTTGACAACACTCTGTGTGCTGCAGAGATGTCTGGCTCAGATTCTTTTGGTCCAATACTGATTAATTGGTTCTTTTTCAGGTCCATGGTACTATTAGTAACCAAATCCCTTATTTGAAGGCATCTTTGTTCTTTCATTCTTTCTCAACACCCAGCTTTTACAGCCATACATTATCCCTGGAAAAACCATTGTGATGATGATGATAATAAAAGAAAGGACATTTTTCAGTGTCTTTGCCCACACCCCAGCTGGGTATTGTTTTGCAAATCTTAATTGCCCCCACATAAAATTTAGCTACATTATATGTGATGAATGGTTTCAAGTCAGACAAGAGAAAATCCACAAACAGGCTTTTCTTTTGACCTATATGATGTGGTAGCAGGGAGGAAATGAGAGTCTGGTGACTGTGCTGACAGTAGTGATTGTAGAGCAGCATGTGTGTGGTAGTTTCAATGGCTCCAGTGCAGCAGGGGCAAACTCTCTGACGCGTGGGGATTTTAGCAAATCTCCATTAAGGGGAGCACATCAAGCCTCGCTCTGAAAAAGGTTCTTTGCTGGGCAGGAGAAATTAGGGCTGTTAGATATCTGCCTGATTCCCATGTAGAGTCCATGGTATGATGGGCTGTGTGTGCACTGAAATATGGCTGAGCTTGTGTTTGACATCTACACCCCTTTCTTGAATGGTTCTTTTAGCTTGGGCATCATCCAAATGGAGTTGTTGAAGTGAGCAGGTGAGTTTCCCTACTGTTGCCGGATGCCAAGAAGATTGAAAATGATCTGCTATAGCCAAGGCTGGCGATAAACTTCTTGGTGACATACCTCCGGGTTTAAAAGCAAGTCTTCTCCCTGGTTTAGCACTGCCAGATAGTTGTTCCTCACCTGTACTTTTCTTTTTTTTCCCCTCCTCCCTCCATCCAAACTGTCATTTCCTTGTTCATATGCTTGTTCCCTTTCTGCTTTGTCTTGTCTCTTTCTCTTCTCTGCCTTGTGTTTCTCTACTGGAACATCTCTAGTAGCAGCACTGCATGAAACTGACTTACATGCAAAGCCTGCCAAAGCCCTGCCTTTGCAGTTAACTCTTTACCATGCTGGTCACTTTGACTCCAGGGCAGACCTAGCTAAGCCAGGAGAGCAATGTGTTGTACCCTCAGAGGTGCAATTCTGGCAGGGGCTGAGGCCACCCAATGGGATGCAGCTAGGAAGTACCCAAAGCCACTGGGAGGGGAGGTGGGAGACGAGCAGAACAGTGGCAGACCAGAGACTGGAGGAAAGCTTGCAGACCACAGCAGCCTTAAATGGTCAGCAAGTGTCTAGCTCAGTGTTTCTCAACCTTGGCAGCTTGAAGATGTGTGGACTTCAACTCCCAGAATTCCCCAGCCAGCAAGACTGGCTGGGGAATTCTGGGAGTT